GGACATCAAGGAACAGTTTGTGAGTCCCACACCTTCCACTAGAGAGCTTTGCTGAAGGGTTTTCACTCCATGGCAATATGCTGCATTCTCTTATCTTGCCATGGCCCAACCCTGCATGGATGTAAATGCCAGGAAAGCTATTATTCTTTTGGATAAAGTCATGCTAGGAAAATATTATCTGTCTCCTTGTGACTAACAGTTCAATAACAGCAGACTGTGTATGAAACGTGAGGCCGTGAATTGCACAGTGCTTTATGTTCATGCAAACGCATTGATGCTAGAAACCACGGATCTCTCTCCATCATGGAATCTCTATGGAGGGCACTGAACAGTAAAGAATGACAACAGAAACTAACAAAGCACTAACACGACACACTCAAAAGGCAAAAATAAGGGCTGTTTCTGGCTCCTTTTCACGTTCGCCACTTGACTTTACACATTTGACACACTGTAGTAAAGTTTTGTCAGCTAGAAGTTTAGTGTTTTTAGGGACTTGTGCGCATTTAATGATCTTACACATGAGGCTGCCTTATACTGAATCAGGCCCTTGGTCCATCGAGGTCAGTATAGTTTACTCAAACTGGTAGCAGCTCTGCAAGGTCTGATGCAGGTGTCTTTCACATCACCTACTACCTGCTCCTTTTAAACTAGAGATTTCTGGGGACTGAATCCGGATGCCAAGCAGATGCTCTGCTACTGAGCCACACCCCCGATTTCAAAATTACTACAAACAAAGCACCAAAGTTTAGTTATCGGTATAATCCACCAAGGCAGGGGACGGTGTTTAAAAGGAAGGCCCAGCTACCTCATACCTGCTCTTACATAAAGCTGGGATTGCATTTCTGGGTTTGCTGCAGATTAATTTGGAAGCAAGGTACAATTATTCCCAGGCATGTTATTACACACTTAAATTGTAAGGATTCAATTACCTTTTATATATTTCTGTAAAGATCCAAACGATATGGCCAGCAAGGAATAGAGAAGTCTGTTATTTGGGGGTTACCGGATGTCCTCTTTTTAGAAGACATGTCCTCTTTTTTTGGTGTCCGTACTCTTTTGGGTCCTGCCAACCTAGCAGTTCGAAAGCAAGAAATTGCAAGTAGATAAATAGGTACCACTTCGGTGGGAAGGTAACAGCGTTCCGTGCGCCTTGGTGTTTAGTCATGCTGGCCACATGACCACGGAAACGTCTTCGGACAGCGCTGGCTCTTCGGCTTTGAAACGGAGATGAGCACCGCAACCCTAGAGTCGGATTTGATTGGCTTTCGAGCAAGGGAACCTTTACCTTTTACTCTTTGGGGCTTTTAAAAAAAACTGATGAAAATGTCCTCTTTTTGGGGTTGGAAGGTTAGGAATACTAGTTAGTAGCAATGATCACAGCTTGAATAGTAGGGGTATTTAAAGTGAGATTTGCCATAGTGATCATTTCTTTGACGTAGTCCTCTGTTTTGCTTTTCAAAACATGGTGACCGTACTGTTATTCAAAGCCAAGAGAAAGGAACAAGAGGATCCACAGGGTCCAAGGCTGTCTTTTTAAATGGTTGCTTTGAAAGCAAAAATATCCATCTGTAACTAACATAGATTCGGGTGGGCAGTCATGTTGGTCTGAAGCAGCAGAACAAAGTTTGAGTCCTGTGGCACCTTTGAGACCAAGAAAGGTATAAGCTTTCATATGCCTGGAGACTGAAAAAGTGTGTATCTGAAGAAGTGTGTGTGCAATGAAAGGTTATACCAGGAATAAAACTTTTTTGGTCTTAAAGGTGCCACTGGACTCAAACATAGGTATGAACAGGGCTATTTTTGGGCAGGAACGCACAGGAATGGAGTTCCAGCTGGCTCCCGAGTTGGAACTCATTAGCAATTTGCTGGTGGAGCCTGGACAAAGCAGGGTTTTGGGGGGGGGAGGGACCTAAGCGGGGCACAATGTCATAGAGTCCGCCCTCCAGAGTAGCCACCCTCCCCCAGGGGAACTGATCTCTGTAGTCTGGAGATCAGTTGTGATTCCTGGAGATCCCCAGGCCCCACCTGGAGGTTGGCAAGCCTAGGGCTCAGTAGAACTGCTGGGAGGCAGGGAAAAGCTAAATGCACCTTTCTACCCCCGTAACTGTTTTACTTCTTAAAAGGAGAGCGGTGTGAGCGAAATACAGGCAAGACCAGCCAACTCCCCACCTCTGGAGTCTCTCCGTAGTTGCCTGGGGCTCTTGGTTTGACCATGATCATGGTTGGTGGGAATCCGAGGACCATCACCAGTGAAATCAGGGTCAAGTTTCTAACACCTCAATTCTCATTCCAATATTCATTTGCCAAGGTTCTCCCCCTTCTCATATACATACTACTACAGTTTCCTGGGAGCTACGGTGGCTCAGGTGGTTAAGACTCTGAACTGCAGGCTATGGAAGGTCGGTAGTTCAGCAGTTCGAGACCCGGGTGCCGCATGACGGAGTGAGCTCCCGTCTCTAGTTCCAGCTCCTGCCAACCTAGCAGTTCGAAAGCAAGAAATTGCAAGTAGATAAATAGGTACCACTTCGGTGGGAAGGTAACAGCGTTCCGTGCGCCTTGGTGTTTAGTCATGCCGGCCACATGACCACGGAAACGTCTTCGGACAGCGCTGGCTCTTCGGCTTTGAAACAGAGATGAGCACCGCAACCTTAGAGTCGGATTCAACTGGCTTTTGAGCAAGGGAAACCTTTACCTTACAGTTTCCTGAAGGATTTTCATTGCCTCCAATAAACTGTATTACTTTGCTCTGCCAAAGCCTACTCAACAAACATCTGACGAAGGGAGTTTTGACTCATGAAAGCTCATACCCCCCAAATCTTGTTGGTTTTTAAGATGTTACTGGACTCAGATCTAGCTGTTCAACAAACACAGTTACCCTGCAGTATGGTTTCAGTAGTTCAACAAATACCTCAGAGGGGCAGGGTGTGAAATGGCAGTACACCGAGTTATGTCCTTTAGGGCGCAGGCACATGAGCCCAAGTCCCTTCCGAGTGCCATCTACGCAATGTGAAACATCTCAGGCATATGCACCGAAGACACATTTGAGATATCCACAGCAAGACTCTATCAGGACTTACGCTTGCCCTAGTGAGACCATTTCATTTCAGGAAAATGCTACTACAGGATGCCCCGTTCCAATGATCTCAGTCTGAATTGGGGGGCCGTATTCCTGCTTTTTAAAGGGGAGGGGGGAATCACTAGGAAGCTCAGTCAAGGAATCCCTCCAGTTTCAGATATGGTTTGGATCTAAGGCCACACAATAGGTCTGTGGCACAGGTGGGAATGGATCCCAGTCTCCTTGGGCTGCTCCAGCTTCCAAAGGTTTGTTTTCTAGAGCTGTAGTGTATCAAGTCCTGACAAGTCCAGACAAGTCCAGAGACAAACGTCGAGCTTCGCTCCTAGAGACAATGGACTATGCGGATCCTAGCCCGCTCAAATCAGGGGACTAGGTTCCTGGCCGAGAAGCCAATGGGACTCTCGGCCACTGTAAATAACCTATTGGGAAGGGGGGGGAGTGTTTTGGGTGGCAGTTTCTCGGGGGATATAAGCCGGCCTGCGAGCCGGCCAAAGTTGTCTTGTTCCTGATTGAATAAAGTACGCTTTGCTGAAATCACTCTCCGTCTGCGTACTTTTCAAGAGCCAAGCAGGGATCTGCCTTTGTTAACATAGCACAAGAGGGGACAAAGTGCAGACTATCTCGAGGTCACCGGAGTTCTTCTCTGCAAGCGTATATAGAAGGTTATGAGGCCTGTGGTAGAAGCCACAGCTCTCTGGCACGCCATTCTCTCAGAAACCTATCAAGTGACCTGAAGGGAAGGTCCTGACAAAATGCCCAGCCCTATTGTGCAAGACACATAATCTGCATGTCAGTGCCTTGCTCCCTTGCCCTCGCTCCCTCTCACAGTCAGATACACCCAACCTGTTTCATAGGACCCACGCAAACCAGAAAAGCTTTCAGGACTTGCCTGAGAGAGGAGTAAAATTGGTAAGTGGATGTGCCTTTTCACAGCTGTGCCCTCTAGGACTGCCAACTCTGGGTGGGGAAATTCCAGGAGATTTTGGGAATGGAGTCTGAGGAGGACAGGGAGCTCAATAGGGTATGATGCCATAAAGTCCACCCTCCAAAGCAGCCCTTTTACCCAGGGGAACTGATCTCTGCCATCTGGAGATCAGTTGATATCAGGGGTCATTTCCTGCGGAAGCGCACAGGAGCGGAGCTCCGGCAGTAAGGAGCCCAGGGGGCGGGCACATGCAACAAGCCCCACCCCCTGCTCCCAGCAGCCCTCAGTTGGGCCACGAGGAGCAAGAAGCAGCCAGGTAAGTTGCAGAGCCCCCCCCCCCGCCTGCCTTCAGGTACAAGCTCTCCCTCCTCTGCGAGGACAGATGTGCACGTTCCCCCCCCCAGTAGCTAGCAATCCAAAACAATGCAGTGGAGCCTGGAGCCTGAGTGGTGGGTGTTGCCTTCTGACACACTTCCGGTGATGTCAGGGGGTGTGGCATATGCAAATAAATTATTCTAAGTTATGCTAATGAGCTCCTGCACCTCTATTTCTACAAAATGACCCCTGGTTGTTGTTATTATTAATATTATAGTATGGCATTTTGTGTAGTATAGCCAGGAGATCCTAATATTGTCTGGCAGCCTGTTCTAGCTCTTTTAGAGTTATGCACTACTAGGTGGCAAGCTAGACTTGTTTTTAAGGCAAGAGAGTTTTCAGAGGTGGTTCTGCTTCTGCGTCATGACCCTGGTATTTCTCGGAGGTTGCCCTTCCAAATACTAGCCAAGGCAAACCCTGTTTAGCTTCTGAGATTGGACGAGATCAGGCTAGCCTGGGCTATCCAGGTCAGGGCAGTTGTTATTCCAGGAGATCTCCAGGCCCCACCTGGAGGGTGGCAAGCCTAGGTGGCACGTAACAGTGAAAGAGCGGCACTGTTTATTTAGGAGAGCAGAGGGCAGAATATTCTTGTCATTCATATTGTTTCTTTTGTAGGCCCTCTAGATGATGGATCTCAGATCTGAGGAGGAAGTTCCCAACTTCAGCGACTTCAAGCGTTTAAAACCAGTGGAGGTTGAGGGCGTCCCTTTGGCCAGCAATACAGCAGAGAATTGGGGTCTCTTGTGGGCCTTTGCAGCCCGGCCAGACGATCTTCTCATCTGCACTTATCCCAAAGCAGGTAGCAGAACTAGTTGTGACACCAGAGGTCCCGGGAAAGCAAAAGGTGGTGGGCTATGGAGCTGGGGAGACTGAAGGCCCCGGGAGGAATTACAGGATCGTAATGTCTCTTCCCCTCACCTGCATCAGGGACAACCTGGATCCAGGAAATTGTGGACATGCTCCAGCAGGGAGGGGACCCCCAGAAATGCGCTCGGGCCCCAACAGACAAGCGTATGCCCTTCTTGGATCTGTTTCTTCCCAAACCCATGAATTCAGGTGAGTAGGAGGTGCTCTTTCAGGGAACGGGCGTTGTCCAGTTGTGGGGAAGGAGTTCTCAGCATGAGGCTGTGCCTTGCTTTCTGGTGTTTCAGGCCTGGAAGACGCAGAGGTGTTGCCTTCTCCACGCACACTCAAGACTCACCTCCCCGTTCAGCTCTTGCCACCTTCCTTCTGGGAACAGAAATGCAAGGTCAGGACCACTGGGGTGAGGGGGCTGGGGGTGGGGCAGGATTGAATGTGATTAGTCTCTGGGAGCTCTTCTGATTTCCTGGGCTCAAGGGTAGAATAATAAAATCTGAGAGTGTCTCTGAGCATATGTAGAGTGCAGGGCTTCATTTGGCTCAGGTTTCGACCTTGAAATTCTGCTCTGGTAAATGTGAAATAGTCGGTCTGCAGACTAACAGAGTAATCATAATCCTGGACCAGGACTTCCAAACAGGCTGACTGACGCATTTGTTCTTAGTGAGGACATAGAAGAAGGTAAATCTTGAAGACTGGGGAAGGGAAAGGTGAAGGGACAGGTTGTTCCTGCCAAGCACACACAGGTGCTCGGGCTCTCTTTCCTCTGACTGTATTTCCACAGGTCATCTATGTGGCCAGGAAT